AGCTCACCATGTCACACTAGAAATTTGCAGGACTCAACCACCCAGCATGGAATATTAGAGAACTTTTTCATTATAAAACTCCCAAGGGTGGCCATCAGTCACCCTTAAATGTGAGGGTAATGGGGGTGGCATTAAGGTTTGGAGAGAGCATGTTGTACTGCTGCTGGGGTTTTGGAGATGGTTTCCTGAGAGGCCCCTTATGCTCTGGGTCCTACAAGCCAGTCACACGGACTTTCTGCACTTACTGCCTTCAGACCCACTGGTCACCAGGAAAGGGCTAGTGGAGGCAGCATCTCCAGCCGAGTACAGCAGCAGTGAACTCCAGAGCCTCTGTCAAGTCCTCACAGAAAGGGAAAAGCAGCTGAGACCCACCTTTCTTTCTCCTCTCATATAAAACAAGGGTCTTCGGTTGCTTGCCTTAAGCACATAGAGCTCCTATCTTCCATTCCCAGGAGCAGGTAACGCTTGCTGGTTCTTACAACCATCCACACATCTGTCCTATTGCACTGTCAAATCTGAGGGGAAAAACCCAATGAGATGTTTGGGGAAGTGGCAAGGACAGACCCACTGTATAGGCCACAGCACATCACGGAGGATTTAGGCAAGGGAAGGTTAGGTAGAACTGCATTACACATCAACCCTCCAACTCTGATGGGCCTCCACCTCTTCTGGTACCACCAGCAGGAGTTCACAGTTCTTTCCTCGCAAATGATGTTTTAGAAATTTCCTATGGGAGAAATGAAATGCTGGTAAAATTACAAATTCCAGGCTTGGGGCCACACTTCACCATTATTATTAACTTCACCTCCTTTAAGCTGTTGGCAGTCCTAAAAGCAGGAGGATCTGTTCTTGGAGGGTTCTACATTTGGTTACCCCTCTATCTGTCCAGTTTGATTTCTAATCTGATTTTTTGTTTATCCTCATGTATTAATGCCAGCGGTAGCTAGTTCTGTGAGGAACGTAGCGAGCCCAAGGCACTCCAAAGGACTTTGAACTGTAAAAGTCTCTTCTTTGGTCCCTGGGAAATTAAGCCCTCTCTGGGTTGAGTGTTTTATTCCATTCTCTGAACTGGCAGCTATACTGTCACAACTGCCTAAGTGTAGAGAATGTTACAATGCCAGTTCCCCCAGATCAGAAGGCCAGCATCCCAGGTGCTGGAATTTCTCTACCAGAGGGACTTAAAAGTCCTCAGGGGCCAACAAAAGCTTCAGGTCTTTCAAGTCTGAGACCCTATGATTCTAAGTGAAGCAAGAAGATCCATGGAGACAGGAATTTCATTTCCTTTGTCAAATAACATAAGATGGGCTCGATTTTCCCTACACACCAGGGGAAGGAGCCCAGCAATGATAGCCAGCTACAACAGGTACCTGAGCTCGCTCTCGCCTCCAATCCACTCGGGCACCTTCAGTTTGGAGTCGAGGTTGTAGTAGGCACCTCCCACCTCTCGAACACAGATCCAGTGCTGCCTTTTGAGAGGCAACTTCAATGGACCCCAGCACAGGCTAGAGGGCAGATTCATGATGAAGCCCATGACATTAGTGAGAGCAATGGCACTGACGTCCCTGTAGGGGAGAAGTGGCGTCAGGCTCTGAAGCAGCCAACTTCCCAGACCCGCCTGTAACACTACACCTGGCCGCCAGGTTCAGTTTACCTGCGCTTGTCCCACCAAACAGCTTCATAGCCTTTGGTTTGAAGTGCTGCCATAATGACATTCACGTCGTAGTTCCCATTTCCCAGCATGCTCTTCTTGTGGGGGGTCACCATGGTGTTTGGAGACAACCTACAAATGTGAAAGGAGGACAGCTTGGACCCACGGCCTAACCTCTCCTGGCCCGCACTTGCAGGGATGAAGAGCACTTGACACCACTGTCCTAGGGAGCATGCCCTGCCCCCACCCCAAGTGGTGTGCAGCCAGTTTTTACTTAAGTATTTTGTAGTGTGGGGATCCTGCTGCCTGAGGGATTACCTTTTGTTATGCAAAACAACACTTCAGAAGTGGTGGGGCCTGTCTGTCATTTAGAAAATCTAAATAGACACAAGGTTCCACTAAGACATCTCCTTTATGAAATCCTCGACCTATCTTTCCATTTCTGCATTCTTCTTGCTAATCTTCCTGTCTTAATAAAAGCCTTTTTAAACATTGGAAAGTAGTATTTAATACGTTCATTTGCATGGATAGCATGCGTTGTTACTTTTTTACAATTTAAATGCTTTCTATTTAAGGCTTGCACACTTGGTAATCATTAATCATGAAATACTCA